AAGGGGGGGGGTTTGCCATGGATGATCTAAGGTGCTGGCAAGGCACCCAGGGGGCTGGAAAACCACTCCCCAGCTGACCACACTGAGAACCATATTTGGGGACCACCTCTAATATTAGCCTGCAGTAGGAACCATGGGCAGATACTAGGCTCAATCCTGCTGCAGCCTGTAACTAGATCAAACTAATTCTCTATAGTTCCATGAGATAGTTGTAAGATAATTACACAGTCTCTTGGCCAAATTCATAGATGGTATATGTGGAACAATTCTGCTGATTTCAAGAGAGTTGCACTCACAGCATCAGCAAAATTTGGCACATTGTTTGCTCCTCTCTATTAAAACAGGTATGTGTTAGAGCTGTGTGAATTCGTTGATTCAGATCACTGCCTCCAATTTGATTCAGCGGAATCCGAATCTGAAGATTCAATGCTGATTCGGAGAATCAGCAATTCGGACATAGACATACCTTTAAAAGTTTTTTCTACATACCTCAAGGTACCAGCATGGCTCATGAATGCTGCAATTCTGGGGAGGATGGAGCATCCCAGGAGTTGGTGGGGGGGGGGAGCCCTCCACATGCTCAGCAGCAAACACAGAAGTGGACAGAAGTACAAGAAAAAGCATTTAAAGCTGTGTCTGTGTCCAAATCACTGAATCTTTCCAAATTGACTTAGAGGGTTCCAATTCAATTCAGAAAGATTAAAGAGTCCTCTGATTCAATTCAAATTCAGAGATTCGGCCACTAAGTCAGACCACATCTCAGCTGAATCGAATCAGGAACCAAAGCTTCACACAGCCTTAGTATGTATATTAATATATTGATATTTTCAAGTTTGCTGAAGTGGGATACCAATTTTTTTTTGTTTTCTTTTTAGGGGGAGAGGAGCAATCATTAAGATGAACCCAAGGTAAAACCTGAACTTTCCACAACTTCAGATGTGGATCTGATATCTGTAGTCATCTGAAAAACCAAAGCACTTTATCTCAACACCTCTCAGCTCTGGAAATGTTAAGATCCAGATAAGACCTCTGTGCTCTGAGCCCATCACTACGTGTTTTTTTCTTTCTTTCTTTTTAAAGACCTGGTCAACAAACCATTTTGAATACTATGGTTCACATTAGTTAAGTCTGTCTGGCTGAAATGCAAAAATAGTCATTTCTCAGTCTGAGCTTTAAAATAGCTCCTCCCTACCTCGAGCAAAATGTTTCCAAGCTGTGAAAGATGTTTTTTTTCTTGCTCTTTTTTTTTTTCTTAATGTTTAATTTTGGCTTGAGTAGGCGATGTGGTTAAGGATGATACAGCCAGGCACAGGAGTTCAGGTCATATAGCAGCTCTTGGAATGGTTATAAATACCTACAGAAGAAGGAGTTTTATCTTTTTTGTTTCAAGGTGTCACATGTATTGCACTAAAACTGTTTACTACTTATTATAAACATAGAGGCAGATTAATAAGTGTAATAAAGGTAAATAGATTGAATTTCAATTAGCATGGGTGTATGGAGAATAGACCTTTTCAATCTAACTGGATGCCTTTTTTTTTTTTAAATATGACAAGATTGTAATCTGTCTAGCAGAAGTCAGACAAAAATCAAACCCAAAATAAGATGCGAGTATTTAACTATGCTGGTAATCAATTATTGGAACAACTTATCAGGGTTGTGGTAGATTTCCTGGCTGTCAACATTTTTAAACCAAGGTTGGATATTTTTCTAAAAGATTACTATCACCCAAATGGGTGTTATTTGCGAGAAGTCCTGTGCTATGCGAGAAATCATTATAAATGATTGCTAGTTGACTCTTCTTGGCTTATAATTTATGAATCTACTAAAATAAAATTTCAGAACACAGAAAAGCTTAAGTCCAGCTCACATCAGAAATGGAGCAAAATTAAATCCTCTCTCTAAAGACCCCATCAAACTAAAATTATATTGACATTGCTCTGTCTTCTAAACAGAGCTCCAGGAATACTTTACAGTAAGAAATGTATGTGATTCATTTTCCTCTTTCTCTGCAGTTTTTTTAAGGAAACATTACAGTTTTTAATTATTTGAAATAATTTGCTGTGTAACTCTAGCAAATAACTCAGTATGAAAATTTGAGTTGATATTTGACATTTGCATTTAAGTTCTGTTGGTTAACTTTAATTGGACACCAATCAGATAGAACATTTCAGTCCCTTGTTTTGACTAGCATACCTCTTAGATTCTCAATACAAAATCAAAATAATTCCCATTCATTTTCTCTGATACTTAAAAATCCGTTGATGCCACAGAAGTTCCTATGAGGAAAAACATTTGCTAAAAAAAATGTATTAACACAACATGGGTACAAACACAAGGAAAGCAAATGCATTAGAAATCTGAATGAAAATGTTCTTAGTCTTCATTTGGTTTAATACTAATAAAATGTTGCTCATCATAAGCTTAGTTTATCTACATGGTGGTAGATAAATGATGTGGTTTATCACAGTATTAAATCACATATTTCCAGCTGTCATCATATTTACTTCCTAATTTGTTAGACCAAAACCAAAACCTTAGCATTTTGTGTGTTTTGGCTGTCTTTTGATACCTGTCCTCTGTTGAAACTGACTTTAAGTAAGCTGTATGAGTCACTAGTTGGAGATAGGAAAGTATCCAGGTATAGCACTTTGACATATAACCTACTGCTTATTGCCAGCGTAGGCTAACCAGCTCATTTATTTCTATATGTACATGTGGTAGGTGACTCAGACCTACCAGTTTCTAAGGACAACTGGAGGAGGGATACATCAACTTCCTACACTATTCCTTAAGGCTTCTTTCCCCACATGCTGTACAGCTGTTATTTGTTAAAGGCAGTGCCCTCCAAAGGTTCAGTTCATTCAAAAAAATTCAGGTGCATTTGCTGTCAGAAGCACCACAGCAGTCACAAATGTATCATATACAGGTACATTTGGCTGATATATCATTCCCAGTAAATCCTCTGACAGCCAGTTTTTTAAAATAAAACTTCTTGTTCTTTCAGCATACTAATGAATTCCCAGTGAGGGAAATCTGCAATTGTATATAATAAATTCAAATCATTAGCAGCTTATAGCTGAGGGGTAGATTTTTAAATGTATAAATAGAAAATAGAGACCCAAAACTCATTGCCTTCTGATTCAATTTGGACATCAGAGTATCCCAGGAACTATGAAAATCTCCTTTCAGCATTTTCTCCACAGTATTATAAGTACATTTGCCTACAGTCCCCAAAGCTCCTATGTTACAAAGCCACTTTCAAAAATCTTACAGGTATTTATTAAATCATCCAACACATGCATAGCATTATGAAGGCATTTTTGCAAGGGAACCTTTTGGAAGATATTCCCTTCAGAATACCTCAAGTAAATTAAGGTCCAGCTAGTTATAAGAACTATACATTTCAAACTTCATACACAGCAATACTTATAACTTCTCATAGATAGGGTGTACTTACACTGAAATCATAGAAAGTTAAGGTGGGAAGGGACCTCAGGACCTCAAAGCAGGACCATCCCCAACTAGATCAGCCCAGCCAAGGCTTTGTCTAACCAGGTTTTGAAAACCTCCAAGGGTGGAGAGTCCACAACCTCTCTGGGTAACCTGTTCCAGTGTTTTACTACCCTTCTAGTGAGACAATTCTTCCTAATATTTAACTTAAACTTTCCTTGCTGTAACTTCAGACTGTTGCCCCTTGTTTTGTCATCTGCTACCACTGAGAACAGTCTAGCTCCATCCTCTTTCAACCCCCCCCTTCAGGTAGTTGAAGGCTGCGATTAAATCCCCTCTCAGTCTTCTCTTCTCCAGACTAAATAAGCCCAGTTCCCTCAGTCTTTCCTCATAAGTCATTTCCCTAAGCCCTCTCACCATGGCGGAGCCCCAAAAGGGTATATAAGGAGCTGCACACACAGCATGTGACAGAGACAAGGAATGGAGAAGAAAGAAAAAGCTGGGGCTGAGAAAGAGCTGGGGCGAGCTAC